TTAAACAAGCACCTGCGTGCTAACACATACATGCATACCAACATAGTTTTTGTTTGGTGGCAACACATTGCATGGTTCATTCGTGATTGCTTCTATTCCCAAGTTGAGTATAATATATCCCCAAACTGTTAGGTGCCCCCTTTCGAGAAAATTGATATAAGAGCACATGTGTGGGGCGAAGGGGGGGGTGTCTCTGGCTCAGGCGCCCGATGCGACGCTCCCGCCCCTTTGGCGACTTTTGGGTCTTCTGGGTGCAAGGAAAGCTGGTGGTCTGTCCCCCTGCCCCTCAGGAGGCACGTCACTTTTGAGGTTACACTCATAGATCCGAGTCGCAATCCGCGTGGCAGGCATGCCCGAAACCTGTTACGGACTTTGCCCACGAAGCATCTCGCTCCAACCCGTGCTTGGCACACAGTAAGTGAAACTGTCCACGCGCATCTGATTCAGAAGTACCCGTGCCTGGCACATGGTAAGTACACCGCCCTGAGAAGTACCCATGCCTGACACATGGTAAGTACACTCCGCTTACACGCGTCTCGCTGCAAGTACCCGTGCCTGGCGCATGGCAAGCACACCCGCCCACGCGCATCCCCCTGAAAAGTACCCGTGCCTGGCACATGGTCAGTACACCCGCCCACACGCATCTTGCCCGTGCGTAGCACAAGCTAAGTACAGCTGGCCGCTTGCATCTCGCTCAAAAGTACCCGTGCCTGGCACATGTTAATTTGAAACTTGGAACCAAAGTTTTTACGATTGTGACATCTTAGATCAGCGTTGAAACCGTTTTTAGGAGTAATGCGACGATACCCCTTGATGGCGTGGACACCAGCTTATTTTTTGCGGCCCTTTCAATCACGATTGTTTCGCTGAGCGACAACGCGATGGGACAGCATTCTATCAGCCCGGCCAACACTTTCACTATTGAAAACAATCAGTTAGATTCTGAAATCGCAAGAAATCGCAGTGTTTTTGCATGACCATACTAAAATCACATGATTTCAGCCGACAACCCTTGTGGGGGCGGCTGGACAACCGGTCACCTGGTGTTTCAATGCTACAGGAGCAAATGCAAATGAAGAGCAAAATTAGCCTTGATGTGTGGCCTCTAGGTTTTATTTGTTTTCCTTTGCTTCATGCTTCAGTTTCTCTCTTTTGTCTCGGACTTCAACTTTGTTGGCAAAGTTTCAACTTGTTTGCAGCGTCGTTCCCACGTTCAGCAACACATCGCAATTTTTCTCAGTTAGCTAAGCACGTCTGCAGACATCAGCAATTGTTTGTGAAATGCATGCCTTACTGGCACAGAGTGCAGAGTCCAAAGAAGACTTAACAGGGTTCCGCTGTGTTACTTTCGCAAGGTTGCCTTGCTAACCAAGTTGAAGCTTCAATGATCTTTAGCTAAATTTCAAAGCTTCACAGCAAGCCCGTAGGGATGGAAGATGCTAAGTGAATGAAGAAGGGCTTCAGCTGCCCGTGGTAGGGCAGACAAGGGTAGCGTAAAGGCTTGGCTTTGTGCTCAACCCTTGCAAGGGATTCATCGTCACTTGTCGCAACATGGAGGCCCTGCCATATTTGTGAAAGTGGTGTGATTGAAACCATCTTGCGCACGTAATCTGAGGTATGGTGTGTGTGGAGCCTTAGCTCGACCAGCCGAGGGCTAAGCCTTGCAAGCAGACGCACACTGGACAAAGATGTTCATTTCCCCCGGTCAAACGAGCGCCTGTTTCGCGGTACCTCGCCAGAAAATTCAAAAGGTCCTCGTCATCCTTGCAATATTTACTTGAGCCAGAATCAGAACTCGGGTAAATGAAGGTTAGTAAGGGGCAGTCTCAAGGAGAATTAGGTGCGGCCGCCTTTGTAGTCCACATTTGTTTGGGTAGACAATTTTAATACCAGGTTTCATTGTGACTCACTTGGGTTGCACACATGCAAAGTATAATATCAATTTGTAGACATGGACCAGCCCTTGACTTGTTCCAGGTCTTTTACTCCCTTGAAGTCACGAACAGGAACGTTTGCGTGTTGAAAGTGGAGAGCCCAGGTGGTGTCAACCATTGCCACCCCTGCAAGAGGCTGGCCAGGGCATACTCCTTGCTTTGTTTTGAGCGAGCTAGCTCCAACAATAGCGCTCTGACATTTGGCCAGAGACCTGAGAGCGATCAAGTTGTAGTCAGTGTGTGTGTGTCTGTGCGTAGAGAGAGGCAAGGGTCCGCCAGCGATCCACGAGCCAGAGGCGGGACGCCCATTTTGATCGCCTCACATCAAGCCAGAATTACCATGCGGGTAGATTGCAGTCCCAGCCATAAGCAGGTGCGGCCGCCGTTTTGATTCTTTACATGCTTTTGGGTAGACCCTTGTACTGCCAGGTTTTGATTATGACTCAGAAGGAGCTTGTTGTTCATGCGTAGGGGATCGTCGGTGCCGTTTTTGGACTTTCAAGCCTTTCTGGTTTGGACAGGTATCATGGAGTTAATTTTGTGTGTGGCTGAGGCTGTTGGTGAGAATGGCAAGCAGGCATCAATGGTGGGTGTGCAAAGTGCGAGCACTGTGTGGATTTGTTTGCGCTCTGACGTGACAGGAGGCACCATCTTCAGTTACTCCTGAGAAGGTTGGGCGCTTGTTTGAGCTCACCAGTGGACCTGTGGCCCTTGCATCGCATCTTGGCGAGTTGCAACGAACCGCAGATCAAGTCTCGCCTGGATTTTTTTTTATTGGGCAATGCTGGGCTTCCTTGGTTGCCAAGGTGCAGCGAGACTGCAAGGACTGCAAGCCAGGCCGGGGAAAAAGACCTGTTTGCTATCAAAGTTGGCAATCTTTCGGCTGACTCAAAGCTCGAATACCTCGATTGGGCTGTTGGGAGACTCGCAGAACTGCGTGGTTGGTTTGGTTGTTTTTGCACTGCTTGGCAAAAACACCTTGTATAAGTGAAAGGGCCAGCGAGATGTGCATTCAACGCTTCAAGACGCCTAGAGTGTTTTCAAACATGGCGCAACCGGCAGGAGCAACTCTGGTTTGCAGACGCACACAGATAACTTAATGATACTAGAGTGCAACACAGATGCGACTTGCAACACGTTCAGAAATAGCTCAAACAAGCATGATGGCCGGGCTTGGCTATTCCTTCACAAGGGTACGAGGTAGGGTATGTATTTTGCATAGACTGGGGTGTGATTTGACCAATCGCCATTTGTCTGGCTTGGATATAACTATATAACTGGTTTGGATTTCGTGGGGTGTTGCTTCGTTGACATGCCGCGCAGGTGCTGCCCAGCGCGAGGACGGGCGGGAGGCTTGCAAACACACTGAATACTTGGGGAACACCCTCCAATTAGCACATCAAAGGTTCCCACAAAGGGGGCACGCCTATTTTCTCACGAGAGCCAGTCATGAATTTTCCAATGACCCCCGTAGCCAGATATTTTCACCGTCGTTCACGTGACTGCAACGCCTCCGTTGATCTGTGCCACTGCTTCCCTCTCAGGGTGTATGGGCAGGAGCCGCCGTGGCTGGCCCGGGCCTTGAGACTGGAATTCCGCCTTGTAGCCGTTTGGAACCATGGGGGCAAGTTAGACGTGAATCAACATCAGGTCAATCCATTTGTTTGTGTTTTTTTGTTGGGGAAGGCTTTTGTGCAGAAGGTTTCACAGACTAGCACAATCATTGACATTGGTCCATCATGTTGTGTACGTCGCCGCACGTTTGTGGCTTCAATCAGGAGCATGGAAAGGGCAAGAGCACAAACCACTTCAGGAACTACACATGCTTCACATGCCCGAGGAGTCATATAGACATGGTGTTCCCGCTGGCGGAAACAGCTTCAAGCAGACAGGTCTGGCTCGGAGAAAATGCGATCGGGCCCTATGAGAAGCGAGTCAGGCTGCTCCCATCAGAGCGTTTTCTTGCGAAGAGACTTGCCCAAGACTTTCGGCGGGCCACGTTGTCAAGCCATGGGCACCACCCCGCGGACCCGCACGCCGCGCATGCTGCGGAGCATCAAACCAGGGGAGGGAGTGCTCCAGCTCAGCCGCCGCTTTTTCCTTGGAACCCATACGCTTGGGCCACGTGGGCACTAGTTGCTTCTATTTCCTAGCAAGTAGCGGGATCAAAACCCACCACACGTTTGCAGTCGCTTTTGGCTCCCAGTCAAGGAATCACAAACTGTTAGCATTCAACCAACGGCATTTTCCACAGGTTTCAGTTTCCAATAGCTGAAACTGTTCAACGTTGGAGTACATTTCATATTTACAGCCAGTTGTCCTACACATGTAGTTCATGGCACTGGACGTGAAGCCAGCAGAAGCTGCGGCCATCTTTATTCCGCACATCCAGTTCACAAAATTGAACGATTGAGACACGTTTGCTTGGCCGCAGCCTCGACATGCTTTGTCTCGTTCTGGCAAACCCTGGCTCCGACCCTCCTCCTCCCTGTGGCTTGCCGTGCTTCATTCGACATGCCCGCAGATGCGCTCCCAGGTGCTGGCATGGAAGGCGGCGGCCCCAAAGCGCTGCCGATATTTTTGTTGCCAGCTGAAGCAAGTCTTGCTTTTGAACCTTGGCGTTTCATTCACTTGAGCGAACTTTTGCTCCTCCGAACTTTCGCCCAACGTGCCATTTGACTGGGATTTCACCCACAGGACAGTCATGGACCACACACCTTTTTTCGGTCACAGGTTCGCATTGTGCCTCGCTGGCTTCAGTGCAAACACCGTCAGCTGTCCGCCGAGGCTTACAGGGATCGCCAGACAAAGGACCGACACTCGGAAGCTCCAGAATCGGTGCGTCTTGCTCCAGGGGCTTCCTTGGCCCTCGGCCAAGGCGGAAAATCAGATCAAACGCCTGAGATCAAAGCGTGCACTTTCCATGTTCGGGAGGACCTGATGCATCGCAGCGAGTACCTGGCCACGTTGGTCTCCGGAGCTTCCGAGATTGAGACGGAGCCCGGGGCTTTGGAAGGGGCGAAATGTGACCTTGCGGGTTTTCCCAACGGAATCAATATTTTTTCCTTCGACTGTCCGGGCTGTTGAAAGCGAGATTTGCAAAGCCAGGAGCTGGTGCCACCACTGGAGGACTTGAGAGCATCACTACTCTCTGCAGTGGCTTGGCTAATGAGTGCCATCTCGAGGTTCCCTGTCAAGAAGAGGAGTTGGAGGTACTAGAATGTTCCTTTTATATTGTCGTTTCCCTTCCAAGGCGTGCAGGAGCCTTGTATTTTTTTGACTCCAGCAATTTTACGCATATTGCTTTGCAGCTAGATTTGCGTTTTGCTGCGTTTCACTAGACAGCAAGATATCGATCGGTTTCCCAACAGCCTCGTGTTTCTGGAAAATCGTCCTGATGGGTCTAAACTTCTGGCTCAAGGCCAACCAAGGTTATCGATAGCTATCAGTCTGTTCAGCAAGCCGGAGCCATTACTCTTTTGTCCGCTTTTGGTGGACGACCTTGAGAACAGATTGGATGCCGTGCGTGGCACGTCACAGGCAGAGTCGACAACATTCTTGTCACATTTGCATTTGACCAACCGTAAGAATGTAAAAATAATTGTGCCTAGGTGTCATACATTTTGGGCTTCCCAACCTTTTTGATGGGGAACTGCGACTTTTGCTGCCCCAAAGTGTCCTAATTCTGGGAGCGGTCTGAGTGAGCAGTGCCGAAGGTGCCGGATGTGCTTTGCGTTGCCCGTGAGCGACTGGGTCAGTACCCGCCGGAGGCGCAGCGCGTTTTGGTTGCCCATGCCATCCATGGCATCACACGAAAAAGTCCGATAGGTGCGTTGGCCAAATCTGGGCACGTTTGGCTAGGTCTGCAACAATGATTTCTTTATGGCTTTGGGTCAGTGTAGGATTATGCGTGCCCTTTTTAGCTTGTGGTGGGGGTTGGTCCAGTCTGCGTCAGGTCTTGCTGCCAGTTTTTCTGGTGGAATCGGGGGGGAGCTTCCGGGCTGTGGTCCAAGCCCCGGAATAGCTACGTGGCTCGCCAGCCAAACTAGGTCTGTTTGAGGTTCTTGCCATTTGGCTGTGATGGATCCCTGGAAAATGGACACCTGCGGACCGGTTTTCGTCCCCTGTATTTTGACCCATACCCATTTCGGGCAGTCTCTTTTCGGTCTTCCAGGAGGGTGACTCCTGGACCTGCATGGCCCGGGCTCCCAATGCCATGAGCTTTCAGAAGTCGAGGGCCCTGCCTTTGTATTCAAGAGGATGGGTGTGCCCATCCATTTGGTGAAACTTTAGAGCCTCCGGCTCAGTCCGCCGACATTGTCCTCTCCCTTTTCTCCTTCTTCCTCTCTTCCTTGTCTCCCTTGTGTGCTCTCCCTCCCTCTGCTCCCATCCTCCCCATCCCCCCAAGCCTCTCTCTTCCCAATCTCCCTCTCTCGTATGTATGCATGCATGTACATAAGTATGTATGTATGCATGTATGTATGTATGTATGTATGTATGTATGTATGTATGTATGTATGTATGTATGTATGTATGTAATGTAAGCAAGTAAGTAAGTAAGTAAGTACCTAAGTAAGTATGTATGTACGTAATGTATTTATGTATGTATGTATGTATGTATGAATGTAATGTAATGTATGTATGTATGTAATGTATGTATGTATGTAATGTATGTATGTATGTATGGATGGATGTACGTATGTATGTATGTATGTATGTAATGTAATGTAATGTAATGTAATGTAATGTAATGTAATGTAATGTAATGTAATGTAATGTAATGTAATGTAATGTAATGTAATGTAATGTAATGTAATGTAATGTATGTAATGTAATGTATGTATGTATGTAATGTAATGTAATGTATGTATGTATGTATGTAATGTATGTATGTATGTATGTATGTATGTATGTATGTATGTATGTATGTATGTATGTATGTATGTATGTATGTATGTAATGTATGTATGTATGTATGTATGTATGTATGTATGTATGTATGTATGTATGTATGTATGTATGTATGTAATGTGTATGTATGTATGTATGTATGTATGTATGTATGTATGTATGTATGTATGTATGTATGTATGTATGTATGTATGTATGTATGTATGTATGTATGTATGTATGTATGTATGTATGTATGTATGAATGAATGAATGAATGTATGTAATGCATGTATGTATTTAATGTATGTATGTATGTAATGTATGTATGTATGTATGTGTGTATGTAATGTAATGTAATGTAATGTAATGTAATGTAATGTAATGTAATGTAATGTAATGTAATGTAATGTAATGTAATGTATGTATGTATGTATGTATGTAATGTATGTATGTATGTATGTATGTAATGTATGTATGTAATGTAATGTATGTATGTATGTATGTATGTATGTAATGTATGTATGTATGTATGTATGTATGTATGTATGTATGTATGTATGTATGTATGTATGTATGTATGTATGTATGTATGTATGTATGTATGTATGTATGTATGTATGTATGTATGTATGTATGTATGTATGTATGTATGTATGTATGTATGTATGTATGTATGTATGTATGTATGTATGTATGTATGTATGTATGTATGTATGTATGTATGTATGTATGTATGTATGTATGTATGTAATGTATGTATGTAATGTATGTATGTATGTATGTATGTATGTATGTATGTATGTATGTATGTATGTATGTATGTAATGTAATGTAATGTATGTCATGTAATGTAATGTAATGTAATGTAATGTATGTATGTATGTATATGTATGTGTAATGTAATGTAATGTATGTAATGTAATGTATGTATGTAATGTAAGTAATGTAATGTAATGTAATGTATGTAATGTAATGTATATGTATGTATGTATGTAATGTATGTATGTATGTATGTATGTATGTATGTATGTATGTATGTATGTATGTATGTATGTATGTATGTATGTATGTATGTATGTATGTATGTATGTATGTAATGTAATGTATGTATGTATGTATGTATGTATGTATGTATGTATGTATGTATGTATGTATGTATGTATGTATGTATGTATGTATGTATGTATGTATGTATGTATGTATGTATGTATGTATGTATGTATGTATGTATGTATGTATGTATGTATGTATGTATGTATGTATGTATGTATGTATGTAATGTATGTATGTATGTATGTATGTATGTATGTATGTATGTATGTATGTATGTATGTAGGTAGGTAGGTAGGTATGTATGTAATGCATGTATGCATGTATGTATGTATGTATGTATGCATGCATGTATGTATGTATGTATGTATGTAATGTATGTATGACATGTATGTATGTATGTATGCATGCATGCATTCATGCATGTATGTATGTATTTCCCGCAAAAAAAACACGGTTTTTCCAGCGTTTTCGCAAAGAGGACGTCCAAAAACATTGAGTTTTTCCAGATTTTCGGCAAAAGGATGCAGGAAGCCCAAGCCAGCAAAAAAGCCGGCAGGGGGAATCGAGCCTGGGACCCCTGTTTTGCGACACCGGCTCCCCGAAGACTACGTTTAGTGGAACGTCATCAAATTGCCGCGCGGTACGTGCCCCCCCCAAAAAAAAAAAAAAACCTACGTAATAGACGTCGGGCGGGGGGGGGGTTAGGGGGGGGTTTATCCTCTATCCTGGTGTGAAGTCCGCCGACATTGCTCGGCGTGTCGGATACTTACTAGAGCTTGGCGACCAGCAGAAGCTTGTTTCGAATGACCAGAAGCTACAAGTCAGAAAGCCAGTTCCATGGTTGTTCCTTGCTTACTCTCGTTTTCCATCTACTTCGTCCAGTGAGTCACCGAGTCACTGGGCCCTGGGAATTTCGGTCTCAGGCGCTGGCGCCAAGGGCGCGGACGCCGCGGGACGCGTGGCCCTCGGAGGTGCGGCCCCAGTGGGACGGTTCCCTGGGCGATCGGTTTTTTTCCTTCTTCTTTTTCTTCTTATTTTTTTTGTTTTTTTCCCCCTTTTTTCTTTCTGGTTTCTTGGTTTCCCGCAGAAACATGAGATGATGAAGCATGAATTAAAGAACGGGTTCTGGAGGGCCGTCTGGTCCTGACTGCCCGCGTTGCAAATCATTGGCATGTTCTTAGCCTTGTCGCGCCGCTCGGCATGTCAGCGCCTGTGGGTCTTTTGGGTCTTTTGGGTCTTAGCCTGTCAGCGCTTGTTTTGCTGGCTTGTTGGGTCTTTTGGTATCAATAGGCAGCGCCTGAAGACAACCTATTCTTGTTGGGGCTGCCTCTTGCAACCTGCTGGTTGATTTGCGTGACTTTACAATATCTTGCTGTTGATATCGAAGTTGTGCCTTGATCGGGATAAGAGAGTAACTTAGTCAAAATTGGCCAATCAACACTTTCAGTACGTACTCATTACTCCAATCCGACCATTCATGGAGCTTACTTTCCTGACCAGCTTTGTGTATCCAAAAATCACCTGTAAAACATGCAAAACGTTGTCAACATAACATGACACTCAGCTCCCTCCAAACATACAACCCACACAAACCCAATTACTCTAGCGCAACCCTAAACTGACCCAGCAACACCACCCATTCATTGCCAACCCTGACCCGGCCCCGAAATGTAACCCACCCGAAGCCATCTCAATCCAGCCCAGCTATTAGCTCCTCCCTGAACCCAACCAACCCTCAACCCACGCTTAACTCTGATGAAATTATCAAGCAACCCTTGCAGGTCCCAAAGCAGAGGGAGCAGCTGCTGCACACAGCTAAGCTGGTGAGAGCTCGTCACAGACCCGACTGGCAGGCGGGGAAATCGGGACAGGACACGCGACGCTCATGCGGTCCATGCTGCCAGTTTGAGCAAGGGGTTGGACACCGCAACCTGACATAGCGTGCATTCAACGCCGCCACTTGGACTTCAGTTTCTTTAGCTTCTTGTAGTTCGCTCAAACAACTCGAAATATAACGCTGCCTTGCATCTGTTTCCCCCCCGAGCATTTTTGCACCGCTTTGCGGCCATGTTCAAAACAGATGGCATTGAGTCTCTTTCAAGGCGGCACTGTTGCAATCCGTTTCCCCTAAGAATAAAGGCGCCACACCCCGTAAACATCCTAGTGGAACGCATGCAGGCTGCACGCTTGACGGTCATGAGAATCAAAACCATGTTCCATGATTATCGTGTTAAGACAATGGACATGTTTTTATGTATTTGGGTTTGGCATGAAAAAGGATAAAAGGGGGTTTCTGAAATTGAATTTTGACGTATGTTCTTCGGGTGTGGGAAAACACATTTCACGGATGACCTTCATCCGGAAGGGATCATTTCAGCACCCTGCTTAAGTTGAATTCTGGAAGACAGCCCGTACGTCCCATTTTTGGGAAGCCAGCCAGCGCATGCCCATGTTGCCTTCGCCGCTGCGAGGCCTGCTCGGAACAAGTCCAGGTGGTGGGTTGCCCAAGAGACTCAAGGGCCAAGGGTTGGCCAAGACGATTAGGTGGCCCAAGTGGGGATTCAGCTGACAAACAGCACCAGGGTCGCACCCACGAAATTCCTTCGATCCGAGTCGCTGAGGCGCAGGCATTCGACCGGGATGGAACTGCTGCCCATGTGCTGCACGGCCATCAAGCAGTGCAGGAGGGGGGGCGGGGTAAAGAAAAGGCAAGGCCTGCAAATGCTGGCATTTCGACGCTGGCAATGCAACCTCGACAAATGTGACAAAACACACCAAGCTACGGGTTCCTTGAAAGTTGAACCTCTTGATGATCCTTGCAGGAAATGGGAGTCCGGTTGTTTGACTTTGAGATTTGGTGGTGTGGGCAGGGTATGCTGGCAATCTCCAAAAGCTCTTCGTCGCTTTAGATTCCTGCCCTATAGCATCGTGCAACATGAAGATTGGAAGTGTATGTCACAAGCCATAGGCCACGGCATCATACACTTTTTCTGTCCCTGGCGCGAGAGTTGCAAAAGCTGGAAACGGGTAAGCCTGGCCTGAGGGACGCATTCGGCCCTCTCTTTCCACATTTAAAGTATTCTACGGCATGTATATCGAAGCGTGGCACGTTAGGAGGGAAGACTTATTTGCGCTGGTCAGCCACTTGCTTTTATCTGACGCCGTCCATTGCTTAGACGCGGCAGGACGCCTGCTGGCATGTGTCACGGATGATGGAGTCCCAAGCCACAGATTCGGTGCGCCCGGGACATGCAAACGCTTAGCGCAAGAGTGGAGCAGTTGCCTTGTTCGGAGCAGCGAATGTATATTTTCTGCCCTCACCTCTTGATGGACAGGTACACAACAAGGCAAAGCACCGGATCAACACCAATCTGCTGAAGGAGCTTGCCTCAGGATGAACAAGTCACAAGATCGGACGCTCTTCGACCCTTCGGGAAAGAAACAAACAACAAAGTAATAAACAACAACTTTTGACCCAGTGGCATAAGCACAGAGGAGCGCTCAGTCAATGGCCTCTGGCTACAAGACTTAAAGCCAGTCAGCCGAACGTTTTGGATTCTTTGTCTTCCCCTGAATTGAACGGGCTGGACCAGGCTGCGGGATGATCGTCAGGATACTTGTCCAGTGATTTTGGGCGAAGATATCGTGGTACTTCCTGTATCGATGCCATTATCTTTCAGCGAGATCATTACCTGCTCCCAACAATGCCAGAGTTGATAGTGTTGACTTTCATTCTCTGTTGTCATAGGGCCAGGCATGTGAGACTTTGGGGTCATTTTGGCTGCAGACCACTTTGAACTCGCCAACCCTTTTTGCTTTGGCTACCCACTCGTGTGGTCTGGTGTTTGTGCGAGCCATTAGTATGGACGACGCGGAGCCAAAGGCTGCCTTTGGCGCCGATTTCCCGCCGGGGATGCGGTGCCGATGGAGCCCACGTATGCTGGATCTCTGAAGACACGACGGACAAGCGTTGTCCTCGATCACGGACTGGATGCAGGGGCTTGGGCCGCTTCACAGAGAAGCACCCCTGGTGGCTTCAAAGTGGAGCTGCGTGAAGGGGTTGATCGTTGACCACGTGATCTTTGAGCGCTGGGAGAAGCGGGGAGGAGCGTGTTTTGGCGCGGGCGCACTTTGCTGGAACTAGCAAGGAGGTCAGGAGGAATCCCTCCACACGCGCGAGCGGCCTCATCCTCCGACAAGTCCAGCGTCGCTCACACTGGGCTGCTGGAACTCGTGTGTCGCGGCAGCTGGTCCTGCCTTCATGGACGCGACGCCGCGCGACACCTTGATGCTGGAGTGCAGCGATGGCACGTTCGCGGCGTCCCTCTTCGGCGCCAAGCCCGCGCCAGACAGGGCAAGTCGGATAAGATCTCCACAGGGACGACAATCGACAGCCCAGCGGCCTTGGATCGGGGCGTGCAACCACTAGGTCGAAACAACTCAGCGCGCTCAGGGATGGAAAGGGCCTCCTGGAGAGATGAGCTGAAGTTATCACGGAGGGAAGGCACAGTAGCTGTACATTTGGCCTTTTTGCTCGCGGACTGTTGTGGACGAACATTGCTAAAGGCTTCACGTTGATTGGGAGCCAGGTGCTGCAGAGGCAAGTGGCGACGTATTTATGTGCAATGTTTACTGAAAGGCGCAGAGCGCAGTACTTCAGTCCACCTTCATGGCATTTTTGGAAAGTACCCGCAAGGGTTGTGTTATCCTTGGTGACAGTCACCTGACGTTTGTACAATGACATATTTGGTTTGGACTTTCCACGGGAAGTGCGCGCCTGCAAGTCTGTGGCCTTCGGCCTTTGGCGGTTCATTCTGCCGGTGTCAGGCTATATCGCCGGGAACTGCGGAATGTAATCTACTTTTGGATTGGTTTCCTGCAAAAACTGTTGGGGAACAAGTGCTCGTGGGTGATGTGGGCAAAATCGCTACCCATCAACAAAGTTCGTTGCTCAATCCCGATGCAGGCCTTACACTTCACCCATTTCTTGAGGGATCGTTGCTTTCCGGCCGGCAGGTGGGGCGCGTGCCCGGGCTCCACCCGGAGGCATTGGCGGACGACCACCAGACAACGTTGTTGGCGAAACAGCAGAGGCCGCCGGTCGTGCCGATGGACATTTTGAATACGGGATATAGATAGCAATGGGGGACTCTCAACGGTAAGCATTTTTTTGATGGGCCGACCACATCGTGGCAATTCTGGGAACCGAGGCCGAGATGGTTAGGACCTTTGCTGCATGATGAACGGATGGCGGGGCCTACAGCCTTTCCCAGGCAATTATGAAGATTCGTGTGATCTCGGCGGGTTGCATGAACTAGCGATGTGTTTGGAGCTGGTTCTTAAAGCTGAGGCTGATGTTTGCAGCTGGTCTTTCCTTGCTTACCCTTGCTGGCGTTGAAGCTAAATCAGTGCCGCATTTCTTTTGAGTGGCCACTAGAGGTTGCTTGGCCCAGTTCATGTCACTTGATTGTTGTTCATTGTCCGCCATATCGCTCAGGTATGTAAATAGATTAGATAACATTTTGGATGTGTGCAAGCATTCATTCAAGACTTGCCAGCGCAATGTGCGATGCTTGTGAGTTGGCTCATTCGAGGCAACAGTCTGGCTGCAAGGTGGTGCATGCGCGTGAGGCAGGGCACAGCAGCCATGGCCTGTGATCCTTCCTTCAGGACAAGGGGGATCAACAACAAGTTGATGCTCCACCAGCAGCAATTCCTTCAACCAGACATAGGCATCACCAAAGCAAAGGCAACTTATCATGTGAAAAGCATACTTTTGTACAGCGTTAGCATGATTATGGTTTTGTGGTATCCATGGCCATGCGGCGATTCAGCTTCAAGTGGCTGGAGTCGCAGTTTTTGCAACCGTTCCGCTGGGTCTTCCCCCAAGCGAGAGTCTGATTGGCGGGCTCTCTCCAGAGCACGAGAATCCGCTCTTGAATGGAAGTTTGTGCTAGACCGTGATCCAGATATGCCTGTTTTTGGTGAGCATGGTAGAATACGTTTTGATGGCACGGTTCGTTTTGCTTTGCGTTTCACGCCACGCAAATTGCCAAAGAGATTGTTTTTTTACTCTTGGGTGCTTCTCATATGACTTATGTCTCTACAAAGGCGGACATCGCAACCGGGGAAGCGGAGAGCACCTCAAGCTGAGCCGTCAGTAACAACTTGCCAGACTCAGAACTAGAACCTGGATGTTTTTTGTTTTTGGAAAGCCCTGCTTTCCTTCCGAATTGGGGGAGCCAAGTCTAACGTCAGGGTGTGATTTGTTGGGATGCGCATGTCTTCCACGTGATAGGCTTGACTTGCGAGATCTCGAGGCCGCGGCATCCCGGCCACGGGACACCTCAAAGCCGGAGATGCAGTTCTCGGCCTTCTTGAGCCAGCTGATGTACCAGGGCATGGAGGCGGACTCGCGGGACTTTATTTCCGCTGGTGGCGGATTCTTTGAGTCGAGTGTTCTGATTTGGGAGGGAGTGGCCCGGATTTTGGTTCTCTCCAGGGGTCGCTTTTAGATGTCCGATGCAGATCCGCTCTGAGCATGTTTGATCGGGCGAGCTGCGACAACTTTGGCGGAGTTGCTGGTGCCGGAAGAAACCATCACGGAGGGATGCAGAGAATCATGATGAGCACTCAAGCACAACTAACGGTTTTTCCCCAGATAGCTGAAAGCTATACTGCAGTAGGGTTCTAATCTTCAAGTAAGGGTGGGGTGTGTTGCAAGATGCTGTTGCAGGTTGTGTGGCAGGAAGAGGCGAGCGAAAACACGGCAACTAAGAACAGGCTGTTGATGGCATCATGAGGATGGATTGAACTTGGAGTCTCTTGAGAGTCTCTTGAGAGTCTCTTGAGAGTCTCTATCATTTCATGTTGGAAGATCGTCATTTGCCAGGCCACAGCGAGCCGCTTCGAGCGGCTGGACGGTCTCGATCCCGGTTCCACGCTCCCCGGCGCTTTTGCGATCCGATGTCGCTTCCGAGACGGCGCTTTCGTGTTCGCACATCGAGCCGCTCGTTCACGGAACTTTGTCGGCAAGTGGAGTTGGGCTGAGTCGGCGACTATTGAAAGAGGCTTGGTCCGCTGGGTCATCGACTTGTCAACTGTGGTTCTAGAGCTCTAGGGAACCGTGGCCATGGCCATTGTTTTGGCGTGGGGCTGGGGCCCGGGGGGGGGCCAGGTTCAAGTTCTCCGTCCTGGGCGGCCAGAGCGTGCGCCGGGAGGACAAGCTGCCGCGGCACACCATGGCCAGGGCCGTGTTGGCTTTCAGGGCGATGACTTGCTTGAATGACCCCGAAGAAAATCCATCCCCTATGGTTGCCTTCAAGGGCACGATTCTTGCTTCCGCGTTTGAAGCCCTGGATTTACTCAAGGCCAGCCATCTTTCAGGTAGCTTCCCTGATTGTTCCTGAATGAGTGGTGAACTTGTGGTTGTGTTCTCTTGTGTCCGTTTGGCAATGTCAACATTGCCACAACCTTGCCACAGCCATCAAGCTGGGCTGGGACATCAAAGACTAAGCGGTTGGCGGACGTCACAAGGCACTTGCCTTTTGCTTGCTGCACATGGGGAAGATGGTGGAGTGTCTGGTAGCCGAGTTGTTGCTTGACACCCGCATTGTAGAGGAATTCACGCAGAAAGACCGCAAGGCCCATTTTTTTGGCTCAGTTTGCAGTTTGTGTAAGGCTACTTGTTTGCCATTTGGAGTTTTGCCATTTGGAGTTTTGCCCTTTTTACCGAGCAGTTCACACAGCCAGGTTACTGAAGGACTTTATTCAGGTGAGGTCTGCTGTCTGAAATTGAAAGTCCCAACCCACGTTCTCTTGTCTTCTTCAGCCTTTTGCTCAGCCGCCGGCCATTGTGGCGGCGCCAGATCCTGCGCCGGCCGGGTTCCAAGTACCAGAGGGAAGAGTGAAGCGAGCCATCTGAATTCTTGATTGGGCGGAAATTTCAATGTGCCGTGACCGACTTTCTTCTCTTCGCAAGGCAGTTTGGGGCAGAATGATTGCCCGGAAATTCAAGACTCAATGGGGGATTCCTGATGTTTGTCATGGGGTGATTCAAGCTATCAGCTGAGCAAGAGCAGAGGTCCCCATACTTCATCCCCAGAGATCGGGTGCCCGGGTCTCCGCCCGGCCCGGCTGCGAGAGCGGGTTCACACGCAGGTCTTCTCTGCGGGGCACTACTTCGAGGTGACGGTGACCAGCCTCTTCGAGCGCGTGAGTGAGGCGGACAGGCACGCGCCGGCCTGGGTGGCCGGAGTCGGGGGGTACCCTGACTGGACTTGCTTCGTGAGCATGTTTGGGTGTTCGTTCAATCCCTTGGCCAAGTGGACTTGGTCTCACTGTGTGGAGGGCGCGGGGGGCAGAACGATCCTTCTGTCGAGATTCCCTCAAATGCCGTGACACTCTTTGGCACTGGTCTCTCTTGCTTGAGGCCGCGAATTGCAGACTCCCTGGGCCGCACAGCAGGCACGAAGGGGACCTGAGATGCAGATGGCATGTAGGTTTCGGCGATGGTGCAGCGTTGACTTCAATCGGCCAAACCACGAGATTTGCCTTTGCCAAATCTGGGGCGAAGTCCTGCGAACCGCTTCATAGAGTCATAGGGCCTAAGGCATTTGCAGAGGCAACCGGCAACCTTGTCATGAAGCCGTCCGATATGCGACAGCCAGGCATGGTGTTGGGGTTCAAGGCTGGCCCGCCTGTGGAAGAGGATGAGCCGCCGCCTCATTGGTATCGGGAGTGTGGGACGTCTTGTAGACGTCTTGTAGACGTCTTGTAAAGATGCTATGAGTGGGAGGGGTGGCCAGTTCCTACGGGTAGATTTGTAGGCAGGAGGCTGCTGAAAGAGAACGGAGAACCCGGCAGCTGGGCAGCGCAATTCTCATCATCTGGTTCTGTGATGCTCGGCCCAACCAGCCGCTTTCACGCTGATCGCAAGCCAAGGCTCGCGAAGGACATCTCTGGCGTGGGGAATTCTTGGTGCATCTCCTCCAACGGGTGCAGCTGGGGTGAGGGGCAGGTTTTGACATATTTTTAGCACGGGACTGAATCCGTAGTGACCTTTGTGAGCCGACCACTTCGTATGAAATTCACGGGGCCTGGTTCCTTCTTGTCCGCCCAGCAGGATTGGCTTGGAACCGTGCAGACGATAAGTTACCCTTCACGCAATCAATTGGTACTAGGGTGAGTTCATTTTAGACTCCGTGCCTTTGTCAACTGGCGAGACATCAGCCAGAACTCACTTGTTTTCCTAGGTTTGTGCTTCCTCGTGGTTGGAGGTTCTGTAGCGACATGTTGTAGCCGCCATGCTTGCTTTTACACAAAGCCAAGCAACAAAAACAATCAATCAATCAATCAATCAATCAATCAATCAATCAATCAATCAATCAATCAATCAATCAATCAATCAATCAATCAATCAATCAATCAATCAATCAATCAAACAAACAAACAAACAATCAGACAAGCAAGCAAACGAACAAGCAAACACACAAGCAAACGAACAAGCAAACGAACAAGCAAACAAACAAGCAAGCAAGCGAGCGAGCGAGCGAGCAAGCAAGCGAGCAAGCAAGCAAGCAAGCAAGCACAACCACACACACACTTTTTGTCCATTGTTCG